AGTTTTGGATTTTAAATTGACTATACACATGTCCAAATATCCCCCCCCCCCCCCCCCCCCCCCCCCCCCCCCGGCATCGATGGGTAGATGTCTGTAGTCCTAGTAGGCATGGGAATGTTGTTGTGAACCAAGTTACATGATCCTTATGTATTTAAGAAAAGCTACTGATTTCCATCTACCAAACTTCTGAATTTCAGAATCGGATGTGCCCTGTAATGCAAGGTCTGTTGCCCTCCCAATTCGAAAGCTGTGTGTGCCAAAATGGCCAGGTGTTGGTATTATGTTTTCAATAGCCTTTTGAAGGACTGCGTTGAATTGGTATCTCGTCAATGGTTTTGTATTAAGATGAATTAGAAAACTGTGGTTAACAGGGGTATGGGGCCTACACTTGATAAAATCCAAGGTAGCTTTAACTGGGCACAGGGTAGCAAGTGGCTGGCTATGGATAATAAAGGTGGTATTCTTACCCACCTGGTCAGTTTTGGAGTGTGGTATGGTTAACCTTAAATAGGGCTTGTGTGGATGTGCTTGAATGTGTTTGAGTTGTATGCAATGGGATGAATTTGGTGTGTTTGAGTTGACTAAAGTGAATTCCCCTACGCGAAGTAATGCAAAGTATGCTAATGAAAAAGCACATGTGAACAGTTTGACCTCGTAAGTGGAGCAACACACTGACTGTAGTGATATAACAAGCTTTTCCAAAATTGGTAGGGTTATTGGGAGGCGGCTGTCTGGAACAACTCTGTTGTTGCGCTTTAAGCCTTGAAGTGCTTTGTTAATTTGGAAGGACTTGGTAGGGTCAGGAAGATGGTTTATTTTGTGGAAGTATGACAATGCACTAATGTAAAGGGACACTGAATTGGCTGACATTTTTTGGATGGATAGGTAGGCTATAAAATATAGTAATATGTTGCTGTGCAGGGGCCAGGTTTGCTGTAAGCCATAAATGTTTAAAAATGATTGGAATTTATTCAGTGCAGCCCGGTAAGCTTTGTAGGTGTTTTGTGACAAGGAGCTATGAATAAGGCGTTTGGACTCAGCAATTAGATTTCCCATATCTGCTTGGGGAGCTGTGTGGGCCACATCTCTGCCTCTGGAGCCAGGTTGCGAAACTTTCCCCACTGTGAACGAGAAATACTGTCAGCTATTTTGTTCAGTTTTGTTGGGATGTGTTGGGCTTTAATTGTAATGTTATGTTGCAAAGTGAGGAGAACAAGTTTTCTGACAGTGTTCATTACCCTTGTTGACTTAGATGTCAATGTGTTAATGACTTGTACAACTGCCATGTTGTCAATGTGGAAAAGTATGCGTTTGTTTGATAACCATGGGTGCCATAACAGGAGTGAAACATATACTGGAAATAGTTCTAAGAATGTCATGTCACGAATAACGTCAGAAAACACCCAGTGGGTAGGCCATTTTGAGTGAGCCCAGCGGCCAGCAAAAAAGATTCCAAACCCCCCATTAAACCCCCCTGCACTATCTGTGAATAGCTGTAGACTGTTATCTGATGACCAAATACCGGAGCATATGACTATGACCCCATTAAAGTGTTTCAAAAATTGCTGCCATACTGCAAGGTCTGCTTTCATACCTTGATTAACTCTTATCATGTGATATGATTTTTTGATGCCAATAGTGGCATCAACTAGTCGCCTGCAAAAGGCTCTGCCAGGTGCTACTGTTTTGCAGGCAAAATTGAGGAAGCCAATCAGTGATTGTAAGGCCTTTAAGGAGACCTTTTTACTTATCATGACTGTTTGAATGCTTTGTCGGAGAGAAACTAACTTGTCTTGCGGAAGTAGCATTACCATGTGGATTGTGTCAAATTCAATTCCTAGAAAAATTATTGTTGTGCTAGGCTCGGTGGTTTTGTCAAGAGCTATTGGTATTCCGATATGGCTACAGATATTTTTGAAAAGGTCGAGGGTAGATTGGCACTGATTAGAATTTGGTGGTCCCGCGAAGAGAAAATCATCTAAATAGTGTAGAATATGGGGGTTACGTGAGCTAGATTGAATGATCCAATGTAATGCAGTTGCGAACTTCTCCCAGATTGCGCAGCTAATGGATGCACCGAATGGCATCATTTTGTCAAAAAAGTATTTACCCTGGAATTTAAACCCCAATAGATCAAAATCATTTTTGGCCACAGGAATGAGCCGGAATGCAGATTTTATGTCGGATTTAGCCAATAAAGTACCTGCCCCCAGTGTCGAGATGATGGCTGCTGCGTCGTCCACTGATGCGTAGTGTACTGAACATGCAGCTGGATCTATAAAGGAATTGATCGATTGATGTTCTGGGAAGGACAGGTGATGGATGAGTCTAAAATCTCCATCTTTTTTGGGGACAAGTCCTAATGGTGAAATTTGAAGGGATGGGAATGGTGGGTATTCAAATGGTCCCCCTACCCTCTGGAGCAGGAGTTCTTTATGTATTTTGTGTTCCACTATACTGGGGTTTCCTATAGCACTTTTTAAATTTTTTGATTCCCTGTAAATTCTTGGGCCATTGTACTGGAGTTGAAAACCATGTAGGAAACCGTTTATGAGAAAAGATTTAGCACTGTAACCTTGTAGATAAGTAGACAAATTGGAGACATCAATTGGAGTTTTTCCTAAACTGTTGATATCCTCGTTAGAATCGTGTATTTCTATTCCTGCATTTGATTGAGGGGTGTGATCCGCCACATGAATTGCACGAGTGGACAAACCTGCAATTTGGGTAGAATTTGCATGACTTGCCTGAATTAAAATCATAACAGTAACGATTGGGTGCTGAATTTACATTTTTCTTAGCTGCTGGTATATTGGGCTGTTTATGTTGGGGGAAAAAGTTTTGTGTGGGAGATATGGGCTTTTCTTGGGCCTGCATGGTGTAATTGTTGGTGACATGGATCAACCAGAGTTCAGAGTTTATGATTCCCCAGGACGAGTGTGGGTCTGACACTTTGCGAAGCCGAAATTGTTCATCATATGTGAACCAACCATTCCCCGATCTGTCTGCTGCCATTCTTACATCCCTCATATATTTCAAAAATTCTTGGGCTCTAGATCTATATTTTTCTAACATAATACTTGTGAAGATGATGAAGGCTGAAGTCCATTTTTCAATTGACAAAAAGGTGCGGGGTTTATGCTTCACAAGGCACATTGTGCCGTTGCGTATTTGTATTTGGCCTTGTGTATCTAAGTGATCTGAGATTTCCCGCGCCGATTTTAGAAGTATGGATAGATCGACAAATTTTCCCTCCCAAATTTTTTGTTTAATTTTTAGTGGAACATGGGCGCTAATGGGATCTAAAGAACTGGGGGTTTGAGCAGGTTGGTAATCCGCAATGCTAAATGGGGGGCCACCGAATTCACTATTGTTTGTATGGTGTGTTAAGGCATCTACTGTGGGGAGCAAAATGTCACACTCACCCGAGATGTTGCTCAACGTCTCCTCGTCTTGGCCCTCCCGACGTCCTGTGGGTTCGTATTCGTAAGCCTCGTGGGTTGATTCCGCCACCGTTACTGTGGCTGGGGACGTTGATGTTGCAGTACTGGTCCGGTTTCCCCTAAGTCGTGGTCTTGTGTAGGTGGGATGTCCCGCCTCGTGTGTGGACCGCTTGGATCTCCTTCCTCGCCCTCTGCCCGGCGAAACAAAATTACGATCGCGCTCCTTTCTGGAGCGTGAGGTGATCGTCTGTCTAACTGGCGGCATAGTTGAGTCCAGGTAGCGTGTAAAATGGGTTTGACTTCCGTCGGATGATTGCGATAATAATTTTGATGTGGATCTCCTGCCTCACCCTGTTGCTGGATGGCGGGAAAAGGAAGTGCCATCAATTAATCAACTCGTACCAATACGAGTCTTTTGCCTTTTGGATTATAACCAATTCGTTCCACTATTAGTTTTAACAACATTGTAATGTGCTTCCGTCAATTAAATGAGATTAATTTGGTATAAGGGCAAATTAATCCGCCTTATACCCAAATAAACGGTGGAAAAAGTTACAAAAAAGTTATACCCGGAAAAAGTTATTTAAAAAGTTATAAAAAAGTTATACCTAATAAAAAGTTATGAAAAAGTTATAACTAAAAAAAGTTATACCCATGAAAAGTTATACCTTTAAAGATTATGAAAAAATTACAGATAAGTTATAACTATGAAAAAGTTATGAAAAAGTTACAGAAAAGTTATACCTAAAAAAAAGTTATAACTACAAAAAGTTATACCTAATAAAAGTTATACCTAATAAAAGTTACAATAAAATTATACACTTCATGTTAACCTGTGGTGGAATTACTCGATTATAGGCTTTAAAAAAGCTACTCATTAAAATTTTTACAAAAAGATTATTAAAATTTTTACAAAAAAGATTATTTAAATAAAATTAAAAGCACTTACAATTTTATGTTATAAACATGATTAAGAGAGCTTGGTTCATTGTCAAATACAATTGAATGAATGCACCTTCATGTTTTCAAGTCTACCTTATTTTTCATCAAGCCATCATAACAGATTGAAATTTCTCAGAATGGTTGTTTTCTTAAAATACATTTTTTTAGCATATAGTCATAAGAGTTTTTGTAAAATTACCTAGTAAACTGCATTCTACTCTTGTGAACTTTTATAAATAGGCATCACTGCCTAGATTTTAACTCTCTAGTTTTTCATGTTAGCGCCATGATCTAGCTGTACTTCAAAAAAAAAAGAAGGTTCTAAGCAGTGATTTCGGTCACAGTTCTTAGCTGCATACCACCCAAGTCCTTGCACAGGTATCCTTGTGGATGTACAGTTGTGATTTTTATCTGGATTATTTAAAGACGGGCTGCACCAGTAGTCGGCCGTCCGGCCAGCGGTCTGCGCCCCTTGACAGGTTGTACTGGTAGTAGGCTGAAGTGGTCATGGGACTTGGCCGGCCAGCAGTATGTCCCCCTTGACAGGCTGCACTGGTATTTGGCCGAGCTGGTCGAGGGACTTGGCCGGCCGGCAGACGGTCTGCGCCCCTCATTGGCCTGCACTGGTAGTCGTCCGAGTCTTCATTTGAAATATGCTTGCAATTTCAACCTTCTCTTCATTTTTCTTCAATTCTGCAAAAATTAAAAAGGTTCAAACTTTAAATATTTTAATTTTTTCTTTTAAAAAAAAGTTGAAGTGTTTCCTGCACTCAAAGCATATCCGATTGGAACCACTCTTTAATATCAATTCATTCAAATTCAAGGCATATGCATCTATAACTTGGAAAACAAGAATTAGAGTTCTGTTGTGTAATTGAGAAAATTCAACCTCAAGGCTCATCACATAAACATGCATTAAAAAAAATTTTTAAACATAAAGAACAATATAGAACCTGACAGCTTTATAGGAATTAGCTTTAGATTTATCAAATTTGAAATAAAAATAAGATTTGATTATTTACTTACCTAAAACAGGTGATATTTTTGAAGGATTTCACTCCAGCTTGGCACAGACATGAGATGCTCATGGAAAGAAATAATGTACCAGTATACTGCTGAAATTAAATAAAAATTAGAAATTTTATTTTACTCATTTCAGTACACTATATCATGTTATTATCATGTGGTGTTTAAAGGCTACAATATGTACAATATTAAAACAGTTCAGAGAATCTGTTAAACAATTACACAATATAGGTCATTTAATAATTAAACTGATCTATAGGAATATTTATAGAATTAAATATGACAAAGAATAACATTTTTTGTTCATATACTAAATGCTGAAAAAATATTATGTTTCAATTTCTTCACTTCAGTCTTTGTCATTGACATACCAATTAAAACAAACAAGAAATCTGAGATTCACATGCCTAGAATTTTGTTCATTCTACATATTTCTTCTTTTTTGAATGCCCATCTAGAGGTAATAAACATTTCCTACCAAAAACATCAAAATATTAACATAAATATTGCCTTACCGAATGATTTTGTCATCGTTTTTCTATCAACACTTTCAACACAACAAAATTCAAATCGTCCATGAAAAAATCCGCGCTCTGTTGTTGACCAATCAGAGACTTAGAATATGTCACGTGATTGAAAATAAATAAATAAATAATTCATAATTAATTTCTTTTTAAATCCAAATAAACATAATTGTGTATTTTGAAACTTATCTTAAATATTAAAAAGCCAGTTGGTGTTAAAATTTTGAAACAGAGTTCCAACAAAACGGACAAAACGGACGTCGGGGCCGCCATATTTGTGTCGTTGCCGCCATTTTGAATTTAATATTTTAATTATTTATGAAAATAACTAGTAAAACTGGGTTATTTAATCAGGCAAATAATAAAATCCACATGTCCTAGTCTTCTGCTAAAATCTTAATATAACTGGCAGTCTTTATTCCCAACATCGTAATATCTGTTAATAAATGAACACACACACACTGTATGTTGTTGTTTATCTTTCTAGCCACCCTTATTACGATTGATTTACTTTAGATTTCAAACAACCCTTGTGAAATTGTACCATTGCGTAATACACAAGCTGAAATTTACGAAGTGTAGGCCAAAAAGGTCACCTAGTACAAACACCTGTGTCACAAGAAAACAATGGGGAAATTAACACTGTTTTGCACACGAAGAAAAATCTGTGCAAAATATTAAATGACTTCATGAGATTATAACATTTGACCACTGTTTATATCTCTTGAACATTTATATTTCTCCAGAATTAGGGAAATTATTCCACCTTAAGATGTACATGCATATAATTTACAAAACATGAAATCTATATAATACGTATTTTCTGAGAGAGAGAGAGAGAGAGAGATTATTCCCAACTTTAGATGAAACTAGTACTTACAAGACAAATATTAATTAAACAACAATATTTATTAATCAGAGAGAGAGAGAGATTTAGAGGAGATTTATTCCCAACTTCAGATGTAATTTACTACAAGTCTCAACTTCACATCTCTTCTGTTGAACTTAACAGTGGATGTGGCTGTGGACTGCAATGGATGAGAAAAACATTGGTAGTAAAGATGTCTAAGAAGCCCCCCTTTTTTTAAAAAAAAAAAAAACTCAACTCACAACAAAACAGAAAAATAAATGTCTGCATAAGTAATAGCAGTATATAATGCAATTCATTATATGAATAATTTTTAGATAAAGAAAATTCTGCATATAAAAAGTGGTACCTTTATGTAGCCCTTAATCATCCCCACCTTTTTATTCATATCCTCTGTAGATATTACAGGTATGTAAAACTGTATTACTATGCTAATATAATTATGCTTATTTATTATTTCATATGATTAAATTTCAACAGTTATATAAAAAAAAATTAATTTAGGTGTATGGTAAAAAAAAAAACAAAAAAAAAAAACCCACCAAAATATTCAGTTTAACTAAGTAGCCATTCTGCAAAATGACTAAGTCCAAATTAGGTACAAAAAAGTTACACAGAAAAATGACAAAGTCCTGAAAAGTTATGTTTTAGTTACATCTGAAAATGGCTAAGTCCAAAAAGGTACAAAAAAGTTATACAGTAAAATGACAAAGTCCAGAAAAGTTATCTTTTAGTTACACCAGAAAATGGCTAAGTTCAAAAAGGTTCAAAAAAGTTATACAGTAAAATGACAAAGTCCAGAAAAGTTATATTTTAGTTACATCTAAAAATGGCTAAGTCCATTTTAGGTACAGAAAAGTTATAACTAAAATGTAACTTTTTCTTGAGGTACAAAAAAGTTACAGAAAAGTTATAACTTAGTTATAACTTATTTCGGTATGGGAAGAATCTTCTGTAGATATTTAAAAGAATATGAAAACAATAAAATCTATTCATATTGGCATTAACATAATGTAAAAATTACGTGTTGATACTTTCAATTATAAAAAATAAAAAATAAAATCCGCCCACCCGCCCCAATTTTTTAGCAAATTAGGATGAGAATCTAAATTTTAAATTTATGTGGCCTAACCTCTCGATTTTACTGTCTTTTGTTTTATTGTAAAACATATCCTCAATCCTTCAATTATACAAAATCTTAAGTTATTGTTTACAAGCAAATAAATGATTGGCTTTATAATAATAATCTAGTTTCTTTCTAGTCATTATTTAAAATTTGAATTTTATTATATGTTTTTATATGTTGATCAAAATTTTGTACCACCCTTCTTAGGTCAGCTATTCAGCTATGAAACACACATTTATCATATTTCAATCTTTGTTGTTGGTCAATAATAAAGAAAAAGAATGTGTGTGTCATTAATTAAGTTCTCTCTTGTTGGAAAGAGATAATTGTCCCACAAATCACAGCTGTAAATTGCAATCAAAACAAATCAACTCCTCTAAAGAGGTATTCATTCCATGATTTAGAGGACAAAGCCAATGGAGATAATTATTTCAATTAAAAATGCTCTGCTAACTTTAGAAAAGAAAAGAAAATCTTTCAATTTGATAATTATTTTAAGATCTAAACAGATTTTTAATGAAAAAATTATGTATCTGAAAAAATTATGTTCTGTACAAGTATTATTTATGATATATATCAGGATGTTCAGGTTACTTTCAAAGGAAATGTTTAATTTGAGGGGTTACAGTTGCGACTCATTTTACTCTATTGAAATACCCACTTTTAATCAAATGCATGCAATAAAGCCATGCAATTTATGTACATGTAGATTTATGTGAGGAAACTGCATCAAACTGATCTCGGATAGTTCTTTAACATTTTGTAAATAAACACTATAAATTAAACCACAAAGATACACAATGCCTATATAACATATTATTTCTTGTATTGTTTTTGCAGAGGCTGAGCTTATATGCTAATGAATGATGTTCTGTATATTTATTGACAAGGATTATAAAAATTTTCAAAAAAATTAAAAAACGTAATTTTTAATTTAGTTAATTACTTTTGTAAAGTAATTGTAATTTAATTAATTACACAACTTAGAAAGCCTGTAATTTAATTGAAGAAAAAGTCAAAGTAATTGTAATTTAATTAATTACTTTTTAAAGTAATTGACCCCATCCCTGCTATAGACATATTTCTAGTTATTTTTATAGTTCATTTCATGGTTTTGGAAATTCATGATAATAACAGGTTAAATTATTGCTGTCTACTAGCTGTACTAAAATGGGGATGACTCATATTTCATATGAACATCCAAGTGATACTTGACTGCAATGTGGTATTTTTTAAAATTTTTTAAAAATTTTTTGTGTAGGAGCTATTGCCCATTGTATATGTGTTTGAGCTTCCCATGACGGGGACTCCCCATCCTCTACCAGATGTCAATTCTGCTGAGATTCAGAAGCTACAGCAACAATATGATATCGCCATTAGTTTCCGACAGCGCCAAAGGATATATGTTTCCACTGTGATTGTTCGTGGCACTGTGTATAATGCTGAAGCAGTGAAGGAGGGTATTGCAAAACTAATGGAACTTCTCACAGGAAACGTAGTGGTAATAACTGTACAGCTACTTGTCTTCATACAAATTCAAATACTGTAGAATGTTAATTGTTCACGAGGGGCAATGTTCATGGCTAACCAAAACTTTATTAGTTATTAAGGCCCCGCAAGGATTTGCGGGTGCCCTATAGTAATCACTCTGTCCGTCTGTCTGTCTGTCCATCTGTCATTCTTCCGTCCACAAATTTTCTGTTTTTTTTTAATAACTTTTTTTGTAGTTGACCAATTAAGTTCAAATTTGGTATGTTGGTTGAAGAGGCAGTAAGACATATTTTGATGCTAAGTTTGGTTCTCTATGTCATCCAGTTTGGAGCTGGGGTGGTGGGGTAGATTCCTTAACTTTACATTAGAATGAATGCCAGGCCAAAGAGAGATAACTGCTGAGAATGTTCCTATTGTAAACTATGAAAGCTGCAACTAGTCCCATGGTATTAATTAACTTTCCTCTTGAAGAAAATCCAAAGCATTATCTGTTTCTGTCAAATTGAGATTAATTAACACCTCTGTCTGCAAATGAAGTTTGTTTTGAAGTTAAGGTCAATTCTGAATGATGTTTACATTCTCTGAAATGTGGATTTAAATAATGTTCATACTTTCTTTTGGTAAAATATACAATGAGTTATGATTTTATTGAATTCTAAAAACAAGATATACATAAAGATATGTTTTTAAAAAATTTTTTTTTGTTTTTATTTATTTATTTTATTTGTATATTCTTTTTTTTTTTGGCTGCCATATGTAAATTCAAGAATACTATTAATTTTAATGGGTAGTCCAATAATAAACTCATTTTATCATTACTGAAAGAAGTTCTTATTGTAAACTTGGAAGAAAAGGATGAGAGAGCAGTACAATTAATCCCTTGGGATTAATTATCTTGTCTGGGGCGGAAAATTTTCCAGGCTTATCTTTATTTGTCACTTGAAGATAAATTAACCTTTGTCTGCAACTGATGTTTGTTTTGAAGTTAAGGTCAAGCCTCGATGATATTTGTATTCACTGAAGGGTGGCATTTTATAAAAACACATGCTTTATTCTTGTTTAAATATACATTTAATTGAGTTATTATAGATATGATGTTTTTTACTGCCTTATGTAAATACAGGGATACTCTTTACAGGTTGTTGGATATTTAGGAATTATCTTGAAATTTTATAAATACAGTTGTTATTGCATATTTTTCTTCATATATTTTTTAATTTTTGTAATCAATTAAAATTCTCATTCTGTAAGCTACACCCTTATATTTCTACCCCTCGGCGGCCCATGCTGACTGGTGGGTTTTCTAGTTGAGGATGTGACTTTGTGGGAAACTTTTTTGTTATGTCAATTCATGGGAAAGGGTTACCCATGAATTCCATGAAAATTTAACCTCCACAAACACGAAAGTAAAATTTGGCCTGCTACTGTGTAAACATGTATATGAAATTACTTGATTGTAGGAAAATGTCATGTCTTGACATGAAGTGCTTTATATTTTCATTTATTGAGGAGTAAGTGACAAACAATGATGATTCCATGGTTATAAATTTTGAAAGAATGTAAATCATGATGGATTGAATTCAGTAGGAGCTTCAAAAGAAAAAAAAGAAGATGAATGATGAAAATCATGAAGGATACAAGCATTTTTAGGTCACCTAAGTCATTCGAGTGACCTATTGCTATCTTTTTTCCATTGTCATGTGGCGTCCGTCGTGCATTTACATTTTGAGATTTTCAAATTCTTCTCTGAATCCGCTGAACCAATTTCAAAATTTTGGCGTAAACCTAGGAGTGAAGGGGAACAAAAATTGTGAATTTCAAGGTCCCTGCCCCTCTTTGGCCTGAGGGGTGGGGCTAAACCCATAAAAATTAATGCAATCTCTATAAATCTTCTTCTATACTCCTGGACATCAAGGAATTGAAACTGTTGGCATGGTTGTAATATGCATTGAGCCCTCTACCAAAATTTTGAAATTCATGGCCCCAGTGTCAGGGGTTCTGGAGTTGGTGTGGGCTCTAATGATCATATACTGAAAAAGTGTAAATTCCTCAAAAATCTTCCTCTCTCCCCCTGTATATTCAGCAGATAAACTAAGTATTTGGTTATGGTGAGCAATAGTGCATTTTCCAAAATTGTGAAATTTGAGGCCCCAGGGTCAGGGGTTTGGGGGGAGGGGGGCCTCTATTGATTATATAGTGAAAATGAATTATTTCTTTAAAAATGTTCTTTTCTCTCCTGGTCATTAAACAAACAAACTAAGTGTATAGTTATGATGAACAAGGGTGCATCGTCCAAAATTATGAATTTCATTCCCCCTGGGTCAGGTGTCAGGTGTTAAGTAGGACTCTATTGATTATATAGTGAAATGCATTAATTCTTTGAAAATCTTCTCTGCTCCTAGGTATAAATAAACTTACTAGGTACATAGTTATGATAAACAAGGGTGCCTCTTCCAAAATTGTGAATTTCACATCCCCTGGGTTGGGGGTTTTTGAGTTGAGGGGAAGGCTCTATAGATTATATAGTGAAAATGCATTACTTCTTTGAAAATCTTCTTCTCTGCTCCTGGGTAATAAAAAAAATAAGTGCATAGTTATGATGAGCAAGGGTGCCTCTTCCAGAATTGTGAATTTCATAGCCCCAGGCTCAGGGGTTCTGTTGTTAGGGCAGGGCTCTATGGATTAAAAAGTATAAATGCATTATTTCTTAGAAAATCTACTTTTCTTCCCCTGCATATGTAGTAGACATACTAAATGATGTGCAAGGGTCCTTCTTCCAAAATTATGAGTTTCTTGGCCCCTGGGTCAGGGGCTCTGGTGTTAAGATTGAACTCTGTTAAGTATATAGTGAAAATGCATTAATTCTTTGCTTTTTTCGCTTCCTTTTTTTTTTGGGGGGGGGGGGTATTAAGCAGACAAATTAAGTGCATGGCTATAATGAGCAAGGATGCTTCTTTCAAAATTGTGAATTCTTGGCCACAGGGTAAGGGGTTCTGGAGTGAGGGCATGCTCTATAAAAAAGTATTAAAAGTATACACTATGACTATAGTGATGTGTTGAGTGTAAACACTATTGAATCTGACTGAAATACAGTTGAATTTGGGTAAAATACAATTGCAAAATCGAACAAAGAATCTGATTGGTGCATTTTTTAGTCCCCCCACATTCTCAAATGTATTGCTGAAAAAATGGAATGTTTTCCAAGATAAAAAGCAAGGAAAAAAAGTTGTGCTGTGAGCTAAATATATGTATTGACTTTTGATGAACAAACAGGATGATACAATCTTGTGAAATGATTAGTGTAGGTGAACTGTAAAATCTGTGCCAGGAGTTGACTTGATACCCTGGAGCATAAAACACAGCCGTTTTCCTCCATTTTTCTTCTTCAGTAAGTCAATGAAATTAAAGTACTTTGATTCAGTGAATACATGTAATTATTAATCTATAATGAATAAAGATGATATTTGCAGGAAAAATTCCACTGAAAGAACATGGATTTCAATTTTCTGGTCACTTGTTTATTGCCGTGATGGCTGTTAAAATGGGTATGCAGTAACAAACACAAATTTCAAACTTTATGGTATTTTTGACAGTTGTGACAATCATACTGTAAACTTTTGAATAATTCTGATGATTCACATTGTGTTTTACTGACTATGAATAATTTTTTTTTTCAATAACAGATGATCCTGTATCAGCCACAAGGGTATGCTTTACAATAATACCCAAGTTTTTAATTTGCTTGATTTGCCTACCCAGTGTAATAAATTACTTGTTTACATACACTTTAGACTAAAACATAGAGAAAAAGAATTTTGGTGCACTGAAAAGTTGCACAGACTAATCAATTAAATGAAGACCAAAAATGGAAAATGCTGTCAATTCATTGCAGAGAAAATCAGCAGAAATACATGTATAGAAGGAAAACAGTGTACCATTTAACTATATTTATATACCGTCTGTGAAAAGAATATCAAAAAGAATGTCAAAAGAATATCATCTGTTGAAGTATTATTTTATAGTTCGAATCTTTTTTTTTTTTAATTCAAAGAGTCACCCACATTTTTGACCATCAAAAAGCCATTAATACGCTTTCCAACTGCATACATGTATAGTTGAAGGATACCACAGGAGAATAGGCAGGCCCAAATCGATCAATTAAAAGGCATGTTTTATTGAATGTAACCCATGATTCAAATTGTTCAACTGTCATATCCAATAGTGTCACCACTCAGAGCATTGCTTTTTTGGTTGTAGTGTATACTTCAAGCAAGATCTGCGATAATACAGTCAACAAATTTTAACTGCATTTCATTTAAATCATTTTGAGGAAAATTTACAGGATAAAACATTTTCTGTTGAATACACTTACAAATTTTATGCAATGATTATTAGTTGTTGATAATCAGTAGTTTGATATAAGTTTATACAGTACCTGCATTATTATTCTTTACAATTCTATTGTGTCCTATCGTGCGTTTATCCTATAGTATTGTGCATGTTTCCTATCATATTGTGCGTGCATCCTATCGTATTGTGTTTTCCAGTTTTGCATTTTCTTTTTATCAGGTTTGGGTTTATTTTGAAATCATTTATCAGGTTCTATTATATATTGTGTTTTGCATTTATTGTGTACATTCAGAAATCCTCGCTTTTTATCTTTACCTTCAGAAGAAACACCCAAGGTATCCTGACTTCTTTTTTTTGTTTTGTTAATTTAATATGATTAATTTAATGTTAAATAGAGAGAGCAGTGATTCATTTTGATGTGCGTCCTGCATAAATTACGCACAAATTTTGCCCAGGACGCATTATTTCAATAAATGTGCATCCCAATGGACGCAATAAATTTATAGAAGGACATGTACTATTTTAAATTATTTCGGTATAATCTGATTCAAAACTTGACCGATTGCATCATATCCACGTGCTAAATGATATGCATGAACGATTTTAACAGGTAGGTCTACAAGGTTGCCAACAACTGGTCAGATTTCACAACTCAAGTTA